CCTAGGCCCTCCCCCCCGGCGTGAAATCATAGAGAGTGAAAATTTCTTATGGGGAGGACGAGATTTTGTTTGAAAAATTTCCCCCGCATGAAGCGCCGAAGGCGCCACTAGCCCGCAGACGCCACTAGAGCCTGAGTAGGCCCGGCTTTTTTGGGGATGCCCCCCCCCCCCCCGGAAAAATTTTGAATTTCAACCCATGTTTTGCATGTTGAGGGGCAAATTTGGCAGCACAAATTTTGCTGGTACATCGAGCTATAAATTTAAAGTCAGTAACGTTAAAGTCAGTCAGTGTAATCGAAATAATCCTCTATCTAGCCACGGTAGTACCTTTCGTCCACGTCTTCCGCGTCAATTTTATTACAAACAGGGAAACAATATTGCCAAGTTACTTGTTGTTTTCAATTAACATTGGAGGGACATAGATATAAATGTTAAAATAGTCCTTGGTTTAAAAAAATACCAAAATTAATCCGTCGACATCCGACATCCACGCCGAGAAGTTCGAGCGAGTTGCGAGGCGGGACCAGCGGGTCAGGCTTTGCCGACGCACGCACACAACTGGGAAGGGTGCGTTGAACGGCGAAAATTAATTTTCAAAATCTTCAGACAAGCCTTCCCTACATTTTTGATCGGTATCGTTTCGCGGTGTCGCGATTGCCGCGATTTTAATCCATTTAATTTGGCTGTGTAGTCCAGTTTCGCCGATTCTGGCGAAAATGCAAGATTTTGAAGGGGACTGTGGGAGATTTGGGCGAATACATTATAATAATAGGGATGGATATTATTGGAACGTAAAATTCTGCCGATTCCAGTGACCGACAAATCGCTGCGATATGTATGGACAGACGTTTAATCATGTTTTGAACGTGTATAAAAACATTGTAGAGTTAAAGGGATCTTGGAAAAAAATTTTACTTAGGCCCTCCCCCAAATTAAAATATTTTTTCCTAGGCCCTCCCCCCGGTTCAAAATTTTTTTCCTAGGCCCTCCCCCTCAGACGACCGGCCCTCTCCCCCCCGGTAACTATCGTACAGTCCCTAATGTACTGCTACATGTAGTGGTATATGCCATGTAGCTGATATGGTAATGAGCACGAAAGGGTCAAGACTTGCTTGCTTTTCTGATAGTCACTCCT